GTCTTGTTTCATTGAGCTTCATAAGCAACAGTTGACGTTAACTCCATGGGAGCAGATACTTAAATCAGCTCAAAATGTGCTCTTCAATGAAGAACTGTTTGCACAGGTATAATACTATACTATAATAATTAATGTATTTGTATTAATTTGGTTTAGATTGTACAATCATTTGTGATGAGGAACTTGTATTATATAATGTGAAACTGCACAAGAGGAAAGGTTAGAGAGATGTAACGAGATTACTAGAATATACAAAGTTTTACTAGGTCATGACTAGTGGGTGGGTCATTTAACCTTATCGCTATAAAGAAAAACTACTCACACAAGTCACGTATCTTGTGCAAGGGGTGTGGTTGTGGGTGGAGTCAAAGATGACGTACATTGAATAGGTTGATATGGGAGGAGTACCAGCAACACTGGTTAATATTGTGTCAAGACGTCAGCCATTAGCAGTTGCATATTTACGTGATTATTTAGAAACAACTAGTTTAAATTGAAATAGAAATGGAAGAGAGAGTAGACCCAGTTTATTATCAGGTACTGATTCACCTAGTGATCTAACTATGATGTATAAAACATATGTATAATGTATTATAGTGTACACTAGGAACATCATGTATGTACTAGTATATAATGATGATGATATTCTACTTTTTTTTAATTTCAAAATTTTGAATCAAATTAATCTATTCATAACAATAATAATTGATAGTTGCTTAAAGTAGAGAGGAGAGAGAAAGGGGGAGGGAGAGAATCGTGTGTGTGAAAGAGAGATAGAAGTCTTTCTAGCATCTAGTTTATTCCAGTTTTATTGGAATGACTACTTTAATATTTCATTATACGTTTGTTATAATAATCAGCAACATAAATATATCCATCCTTATCCAGTGCTACACCCCATGGACAAGATAATCCTGAGATTAATTTGACTTGTTTCCTATCAGGACTCAAGACATGGAGATAGCCATTATTACTTGATACAAAGATATATCCTTCATCATCAATAGCAATACCATCAGGACTACTAAAGTTACCAGCTGGATTATTGTATGTATCAAGATGAGTTTTACCATCAGGAGAGAAGACTTGAACATGATCTTGACTCCAATTGGTAATGTGCATCTTTCCTTCATTATCTACTGCTACATCAGTTGCATCACCATCACATTGTATGACTTGTACAAATGTACCATCTTTATGAAACACTTGTACTCTACTGTTGCTGTGATCAGCTACTAATATATTACCTTTACCATCAGTAGACATACCACGAAGGCCAGAAAATTGTCCATTTCCATTACCATTACTACCAAACTGACCAATATACTGACCAGTAGTAGCTGAGAAATACTGCACACGATGAAGAGTATCATCAGACACATAGAGCCTGTCTCCTACCAGCAATAAACCCCAAGGCCTGCCAAACTGTCCATTACCATTACCTTTAGATCCAATCCTTCTTACTGCAGTACCATCCTCACTAAATACCTGAATAAACCCATCACTACTACTAGCAAATACTTCACCATTAGTATGAACAGCAACACCATAGGTATTATTCCCCACATCAAATGATCTCTGGTTAGCTAGTGTGGTATAGTCTCTTGATGCTTTTACTGACAGTGGACTACCTTTAATATGGTGACCTCTTATAGTCACTGATAGTTCATATCTACCAATACTTTGAGGTGTGCATGATACAATGGCTGTGTTGTTATCATTAACTATAACAACTCTACCCTCCTCTTTACTGCCATCACTTTTGATAAAGGAACCCTTCAAATAGCTTGCTGCTTTATCAATACCTGCTGGTAGAGACACTCTGAATTTCCTTTCTTTCTTTACTGTTGCCAGTGGAATAGCTAACCCACTATCAATGGAATAAAGTGATGGGTTAAGCTGCTCAAACTCAAAAACACTTCCAAACTCATTGATCTCTTTACTTAAAGAAGGTGTATCTAGGCGTGTTAAAATGGCTCCTTTTTCTTCTATTTCTAGAGGTAGTTTCTTATACTCTTCAATGCATTCCTCTAGTTGATTCATGATTAGCTTCTTAACACTGAGTACTTCACCTGGATCAGTACGCTCACTCACTGATGATGCAAGATGACGACCATGAGAAACCTGTTCTACCAGTTTACGAAACCCATCCAGCTGCTTCTCGACAGATTTCCTCTTAGCGCTAGCAATCTCTTCTGTCTCCATTAGTAGATCATTGCATCTCTTATCTAAAGCAGCTTTAAGCTCTTCAAATGTTTCCTTGATTTCCTGCCTTACTTCTTCTTTACGTGTTGCTATCTGCTCTAGCATCTTCTCTCCATTAGCAATAGCTTCAGTGACTGGAGGAATGACTCCATCACAACTAGCAACACTTTCCTTTAATGCTTTACGTGCTGTTTCTCCTACGTCAATGTAATCTTCTATATTGTGATCCTTGTGTTTGATAGGTAGGCAGTTAGGGCAGACTAATTTCTCGCAATCATTACAATAGTAAATCAGCTTTTGATCTGTATGCCGTTCACAATAT